AGCCTATGCTAGCAATTAGCTTGTATAATTAGCTCAGCAGCTAGTTAGCTTGTCGCATTCTTGGAGCGCAAAACTAAAGAGGTAAAGAGAGAACGACAGAGACAGAGAAAGACATTTGCCAGTCCATTGGCACTATGTACGAGACTGCAAGACTGACAATGTTACGCTTTTACATTGCAACCAAGCCAAAGGAACTTAAAGATGATGCCAGCGATCTGCATCTGTCCATTGACTGGAATGTCATGTTGGACAAAAGCAAGAGCTTTGTTAAAGTCAGGCTAGTCCATCCAGACCATATTTTCAACTAAGTTCTGAACTAAGTAGAAGAACTGGACATTGGCCTAATCGAAAAGTACTACTGGCAGTTTTTCTGTATTATTCAGACTGCATTGTTAATTACCAAGTAATTGGTACAATTTTAAACGTGACTTTTTCATTAGTCATGCTTTCAAAATGTTGCTGTATATGCCTTTGCTGAGTTGAATTGAATTCACGTCTTTAATGTTTAGGAAGTGGTATTTTAGCAGTAATCAGCAATTATCCAGTTTGTGAAAACAAGTCTGATATGTAGTTTTTATAAGGCTCTTCTGAGGTTTTCTCAGATGTCATTGTTTTGATACCACATTTCTTCTTAATCAGCCAGTTTGCTGATGCATCTACCGTATATTGTGACACCACAAATCTCAGTTGACAGTAAGATGCATTGTAAGTCTGTTTTTTCGTGGTGATATAATTTTGACTAAGCACTTTGTTCACGTCAGACTACTTCCAGACCAAGGTCACACGTAGACACGTATTACTATTACCATTGTTACTGTATGTATTAAAATTAGCAGTATTACTTAGTGAATGAAAGAATGTCTGAAGTAGAGTTTGATTAAGTCATTCAAATCTGGCATTGTTGTGAGCAACAAAAGTTTTTTAAAATGTTGGACACTTTTTACTGATACATAATACTATATAATGCAGTCTGTCTGTCTGATAAACTTGAGTTCTTACGTTATATGCCGTGTGGATCAACTAATTTGATGTTGAATGATGACTATTGCTATTGATAATAGCAATGCCAAAGAGATCAGTCATCCTTGTGCCAAATTCTCATGTTTTGAGGTTACTAGAATAAAGTGTGGAGTACAGCTTTAGTATACCTGTATGTATCTGCTTGAACACTTAACATTTACCTCAATTCTACACCATGTTTATGGATGACTCTTGGTGTATTTTGTGATACCACAGACCCTGGTTGAATTGCCAGTGTTACCTGTAAAGTGTCAATGATCTTTTACATTAGGTCACTGATGTTTAATGTATGTTTTGATAAAGAGGCTATATAAAACAATTTAAGAGTAGCTTGCAGTTGAGAGGATTTATATTTGACTGTAAAAATGTTAAATGTCACTTTTAACTGTTCATTTAAAGAGTTGAGCCATTCTGGTTCAATCCAGACTAGGCTCTGTGGTTATGAGATTTAACCATGTTATTATTGGTTACCATGATTACCAATAAAAATCTTCCTTTTCCCTCCCCTATCCCTTTTTAGGTAAAAAACATAAGGTTAAAAAGAAGAGTTGTTTGAGAAAGTTAGAAAGCACTTTATTGTCATTCATGTGAAAAATACTAAAAGGTAGTTTGTGCCTTCTCAGGCACTGTGCTAGTCCTATTTCCACACTTTGATGACCCGTCTTATGGTATCCTGTGACACAACAAATCCACATTGAACTGCACAAAGATGTAGCCGATGGTAAACCTGCATTTGTCCATTGGTCATGATCTCATGTTGAACAAAAGTCAGCACTTCATTCTAGTCAGACTGGTTCTTGCTTCTGAAAAGGCCAAGTCTTCTACGTATTCTCTTTAAAGTTGGCACACTTATTACTATGTGGTTGCTGCGTGCTAAGATTGCCAGTATTTCTTTCTTACTCAAAGAGTATAGTTTGATTAAGTCATCCAAATCTGACATTTCAGGCATTGTTGTTAGCAGCAAAACTGAAGTTAATCTATCTGATCACTTAGAGAGACTATGCAGAAATTAAAGAGGGCAAGTCGGTCTCCATAGGAAGGAATGTAATTAGAGTTGCGTCATCCATCAGCACAATGACATCACTGTCAATCTGCACAGAAGAGAGAAAAGAAAAGTAAATTACTTTGTGTATCTTCCATAAATCCTGTTAAAGTCCCCCACCACTTGAAAATATATTTTTATTCTTGTTCCTACAGTTGAATGTTTAAGAGTTTGACACTAGAAGGATGTTTTCACATTCATCTGCTGAAAGTGGAAAGTTTATTTGAGCTGAAAAATTTAAATAAAGGGCAGGCCTACGAACATGACTTGTGACATCACAAATAGTTTGGAAGTCAACCCTGGTCCAGTATGCAACTTCTACAGTGTGATCCACCAAAGAGACATATTGTGACCAGCAGGAAAACTTAGAAATTAGATTATGGAATCTGTAGTGAGGTAGAAGGAGTAGATGACTTTTTAAGGATTTGAATGTAGAAATTATACTGTCTTTGTGGAATAAAACATATCAGACTCACATTATTGTGTCAAACATTTTATGTTGTGATACACATCTGGAGGGCGTCTTTAAAGTAAAGCCCCTTAAATGAGTATTAGTGTCAGTAGGTACATAGTTATATTGTCGACTTACAGGCAGGTTACAGGTTAATTGTTGACCACGTAACGTTAATGTTACAGGTTTACCAGGTTACCATTACACTGTGTTTGAGTGAGAGGATAGAGGAATGTGTCATTAGAGACCCAGTGTAATTAAACAATACGGTTGCAGAGTGCAAACCTTTAACTTTTTTGAATACAGTTTCCTTTAAAGGAAAGCATTCATTGTGTGTTTTCTTCATATTGCATTGCAATAGCCTGTTTAAAGTGATCATGTAACAAACAACTAATCAGTACTGATACTGTAAGCTAATAGATAAAGGAGTGATAATAATACAGTAAATGATTTGAATTTCTTAGATATAGCTGTACAGTATTCTTAGTAGACCGGATAGCAGCAGATGACAGAAGGCTCATTACAACCAGACCTTTTATTTTTTAGAGACTTGAGATTTGACTTGGACTCATGACCAAAGACTTCAGACTTGACTTGGACTTGCAAAAAAAGACTTGTGAACATCTCTGGATCTATTCATTTAACTTTGGGAGAGCCAATGAATAATGCTGAACTATCGCCTTAATGACTCACTGCAGAGGAGCGAAGAAAATCAACTGTGTTTTACCCTGACAGGCAAGTGGTCTCTGCTGTGTTAAACCCATCAACTTCAATACTCCAGTTCTCTTTGGAATTGATTTGAGGCCAGCTGCTCTGGGAGCCAGCGGTCTAGTTTTCACAATGAGCTTAATTTCATCCAGGGCGTTATTATTGACTTATCCTGCTTGCTCATGTTTAAATCAGCTGTTGATACGGTTATAGGTGAGATACAAATAGATGCGTCTCATAATTGCACTGGGACAAAGGGAAGGGGATTGATATTGAGAAAATGGCAAAATGAAGTCGTCAGCACTGGCAAATAAGTATGTGGCACCCTTAATGTTGAACAGTAGCAGAAGGACACGGACACTTTAGCCCCAGGTGACCCTTATTAAACGGTAGCCAGAAACCTGCCAGGGATTAACAGCCAGCTGGTACAGATCATGAAGCATCATAATCCAAAAAGCAAAAAAATACTAAGAAAAATAGTAGTAAGAAAATTAAGTTGCACATCCTGTTTTTGCAACAACCCGATATGTGACCCATTGATTAACACACTAACAATAAGAAAGTACATATTCACCGATAATACCCATCTGTATTCATGAAAAACAAGACAAGAACAGCAATTCATTATAAAGCCCCCAGGATATTTATGTAGTGAATCCAACAGGCCTCTCTTTGGAGACGTTTCCTCTCCTCTATCCTCAATACTCATGAACTCCATGGCCAGCAGAATTAAGGGTCTACAGGAGACTTTGCATCCCTATTTTCTGATGCTCTTCTGCTCAGAAATCCTAAATCTCGATTCCCTTTTTGTCTTGCCCACGTAGCAAACCCCACGAGCACATTTTATCAAGTCTCTTTCAGTCAGACAATAAAATAAAAAGTGTTACATACTTTTTTGCAAGTGCTGACGACTTAATTTGCTGTTGTGTAGATCTGCATCCATCATAAGCTGAAGACATTTGGACACACCAGTTCTTTTGTTTGAGCTATTAATATTGTTAAATCAGATCAGTGTTCTGTTAGGTAAGACTTGCTGTACAATTGCACAACTGTTTACATTATGCTGTGGGTTGGGTCACAGCGATTACAGTGAAACAGCATTAACCACACTTAATCCAAACAAACCCTAGTGTTGGTGTCACAGTCGTGAGCCGGTTAAGATGTTTTATCCCTAACCCTAACTCCGTAAATCCAGCTTTTTTATTTTTATTTGAAAGTGAAGATCAAAATAAAGTAAGCACAGTAATCAAGGATATGGGAAAGTAAAAGTAGGTTTCATGTAAAGATTACAATACAAAGTTATCTCCTTATATACACTTTATATAACATGACATAGAGTCAGTGTGTCTGAGTAGAAATGGGAAGTAATGGACTTGTTTTTGAACTACAAAAGCTGCAGACAGATCGTGATTATGCTCAGAATAAAACTATGTAAGGCATGAAGAAGCCTCCACCCTGCGTCAAGCTCCTTAAAGCTAGAAATTAACCGGAAGTTCAGGAAGGATACATACAAAATAAAAGCATGGCATTTGCCACGTTTAGGGGCAAAAAACAACTTTCAACCATACAAAACAAACGAAAACACTCACTGGCAGCGCTGAGTACGCTGTGATACAACGCCACGCTCTCATTTTAGATAGAAAAACACTAAATACAAGAATGACGTTTTTAAAAGAGTGTGTCTTCGTGGACGTCGCGGTCGGATATCGCGCTGTTACTTTGGCTAGCTTGACATCAGTCACCTTTTCTTGATCCCGACCCTCCAGCCAATCAGCGGCTGTCAGGGACACATGAACGGTGATAATATCCACGGAACAGGCTGCAGGCAGGAGGAACAAAGAAAGCCGCCCGTTGTGTGTAACACGTCCTTTCACTTCGTCAACACGGACAATTACCGACTTCGTAGAGCCAGTTTTTGCTTTACTTTAAACACTTACCCCTAAGTATTAAATGACACCCTGCGTGTTAAGTCCGGTTGGCTGGTTTTGCTGAGGAAAGAGGAAACTTGGCGTCGTGAGAGCTTTGTCGGGTCGCCTTTCTCGAATCCTTCTTGCCTTGGATCCGCTGGTTGCAAGGTAACGCACGGTAAGTTCAGCCTTTCTCTCCCGTAAGACTGTAACACAGAGCCGAGAACAACTGTAAACGCACCGACACTGTGTTATGTTGTCGCTTTAGGACTGCAAGAAGCACAAAACTCGTGTCTCAAACTTTCCTGTTGTGTTTTCTGATGGAATGATAGCGCCGATACATTCCCATCGCACCCTGCCTAGGGAACCGAGCTTCTACCAAACTCTATTAAAAAAGGTGTTATTTTAGTGTTTCCTTGCTCCTTGGCTAACAAACACACCAAGAACAACTAAAAGTAAGAGATTTTCTGACTATTTGGCGTGAACACGGAATTTCGGTATACAATTAAATAAAAATGAGTAGCTCATTTGATTTATTTCAAACAATTTAACTGATAAAAATGCTCTGTCAGGTACTAAACTAACAGCAGTAGCTACGAGTCAATAACAGAAGAACAGTACAGCCTTTATATGCGGACCTAAATTGCTTAATAAGTCATTCATGATTCAAAACACCAAGAAGATACAAGTTAAACGTATCCAGTTTAATTTTATTGTGGTACAACGTGTATGGATAATGTCAGTACTAAACTGCCACAATTTGAATGGTGCTGTTTTTCTACATGCAAGAGAGAGCTGTTTACATGAGGCAATGTCTGCTGGTGCAAAGCAGCTAGCTGCCTCAAAGGAACACTTCTTTCAAAATCACTTTAAATCTACAAATCAAATGACAGTTTCCCCTTCTATTCATTTCACCTTGTATGTGCTGGGGAAGTGGGAACGAGTCCTTAAATGGCTTTGTTGTCAGCATTTCAAGTTGTTTCAAACTAAGCAGGGGCAGGCAGTTTGTTTTTTTCCCCTAAGCAAAAGCTGATAGTACTCCAGGTGAGCAAACAAGGCAGCCTCATGCCCTAGAAGCAAGAGAAAGTGGACTATTTTACTTCATTCAGAGCCCATTCAATTTGTAGTTCGCCTCGTATTCAAAGGCTAAATGCTTTGCCTGTATCTGCACCATCTGCTTTGCCCTCCTGGGCATTGGCAGGCTACTGTCCAGATCAAGTGTTATGAGAGATTTGTGTGGGTGGACCACAGCAGATGGTGAGATGGAGAACATAACTGGCTGATGTGCTCGCTAGGCTCACTGTTGTCGTTTTTGGTCTCGCCTTCAGTTGTGGTTGATGCAATATTCAAAACCGAAAATCTTTTAATGTGAAAGCAGTTCCTCTAGGACAACTCCATCATAAGTTTGAATGTTAATTAGCTTCCCTCTACTGTTAAAGCCGGGTCATAGGTTCCACTCGTAGGGGAACTATTGACCCCTGCACTCCATAGCCCACCATCTGGGGTTTGACCCTGTGACCACTGTGACATCAGTTGACCTTCCTGTTACCGCATGAGTGGGTGGCATAAACGTGCCCAGGTCCACAGTGTTCAGAGGTCAACAGTTCTGTCATGTTTCATTCTCCCAGAGCCCACCAGGAAGCAAATAGAATGGCATTAGTCACTCCCAAGTAAAAGGTTGGACTTGGTGGGACCAATCCAATATCGGTATCCGGTGCCGATACTGACATGATCTACCCTGGTTAAGAAAGCCCAAACGACTGTAACGCAAGAAAGCAAAATTCCTGTGCCACGTTCTTATGATCTGTATTTATATCGGCAGATATCCAAATTCAGTGCATCTCTAATTCTTTGACTTAAACTTGGGCACACTTTACAGTTCTCTGCAGCTCAATCACTGATATGTTTTTGTGCAGGCATCCTGTTGTGGTGTGTGTGTGTGTGTGTGGTAACAGACCGAGAGATGCAAAACACAAGCATAGAAATAAAAGGTATAGAAAGGACATTTAAAGCAACAGTCTTTATCTTGATTCCATGATCCTGGTTCCATTGCCCACTCCCCAGTATTCCCTGCTGTGTACCCCCATCCCCAAGCCTGAGAACCACCACCTCCCGGCAGTCCAAGGGCCTGTCCTCACGAATACGTTTTTCTCGAATCCGGATAAATACTTTATCGTATCGTCCAGACCGATACGGCATTTTCGGGGTGTGAAAACGGTATTTGTTGGAAACAGGTCCCAGAGTGGGAAAATCCAAAAACGCCGGATTGCCCGGAGTCACCTGGACGGCAAACACGGTTAGCCCCGCCTCTCTAAGCCTTTAACCTCAGCCGCCGCCGCTAGACGCGTCATAACAACAACAACAACAATGGTGGACTACTACTACTTGTTTGTAAACAGCGCATGCTCCATGGCTTCTCTTCTGGTTTTAGTGTTTTGGTGTGGCGGCGTCACAGCGCCACATACAGGCCTGGCATATGTACTACAGCATTTTGGATCGTTTCAGTGAATCCGTGTGGACGCAGATATTTCAGGAAATGACGCCGTGTTTACGGAGATTTCTTTCGAAACGACATCATCTTGGGTGAGGCTGTGTATTCGTGAGGACAGGCCCCAAAGCTCCTGTGCTAGTGGTGTAAACACAAACACTCCCCCAATGCTCCCAGCCCCAGCCCCAGGTCCAGGCAGAGTCAGCTAATTGGACCGCTGGCTGCACAGCTAACTGTACTAAGTGGCAAATGGCAGAAGTTAGCGATATGGGGGCACTAAACCGCTATTTTCCAAGCTACTGTAGCTGTCATTTCTCATCTTGCTGGAGACGCATGAGCATGGTTTCCATGGGGTTTCCATAGGTTTGAAATTATTTAGAAAGTTGCCAGTGTATCGTTTGTCCACCAGAGGGCACTGAAGTTAATTTTTCCGCTTTAAAATGTCTCACTCAGTATGCATATTATTCTTAACATAAACAATCTAAATACTTAGTTATGTAAAAAAAAAAAAAACATCACAATTGACTGATTTGTCATTATCAACTTTAAAAAAAATCCATATCAGTATCAGCCTCAAAAATCCAGTATCAGTCAGGCTGTAATACACACTGCACGTCAAATTCAACAAGGATTGTTTGTTTTCCCTTTGCCCTGGATTGCTGCTGCTGCACACTGTGAAGGTGGAAACCGTCATGAAGATTAACTGAACAGGGTTTTTCCTATTTTAATTTAAATGTCGAATTGATGTAACGGGTCCCTTTCACCCAAGTCCTCGCTGTGGCCTCATAAGACTTAACATGAAATAGGAGAATGAGTGTACATTGCTGAAGGCGAGCACAGGCTACTACACCAGGTAGAATAATTGCACGTTGGAGATGAACATTAAACATCTCCAGCCGGCAGTCAGCTGTAGCAGCCTGACAGAGTGGCCCATGTGCTGTTGGTGATACTTGGATGAAGCAGCTAATATGCTCACAGCATCACCGTCAGCGTATTTGGTGAATTAGTGTTGACAAATGAGGTGGGAAATGATTGCTACTCCATCGTCCCTCCCATGTCACGTAGCAAATTGTGTTTTAATGACAGCTGTGGGTGACACCCAGGTAACAACTGCTTATTCTCCCCTTCAGTCTCCTGCTGCTGACATAAAGTCAGACCTAACATTGATCATGAAAATGAGGTTTCAGCATGCTCTGCCTCTTTTTCTCTTATTTGCATCACTTGTTAAGTTTCTACCACCAAAAAGTTGATCAGAGTCTGACCTAGCTAATATCATACTTATACACACATTATTTCCTCTTTCTTTTTCACACCTTTTGGTGTTTGTTTATTGAAAGAGGATGACGAAGAAGATAGTGAACCGTTTCCTGTAATTTCGGCATTTCTTTCCCATTAGGGAGGAAATTCAATATTTGTCTCTTTTGCTTAAGTATGTGTTTTTTATTGTAGCATCTGGTTAAGTGTGTGCATGCTGCATTCAGACGAATATTTGAGCAGCCTATGCTTACCTATGTGTAAATACAGCACACACTCTATAGTAGTTAGTGACGGCTTGATCTATATATCTAAGTCCATGAATGTTAACACTATAATGTTGGAAAGTGATAAAAAAATTCTATTAGTACAGCAGCTTATGAATATCTTGCGACAGAAAGGCACATAAAAACGTCCCAAACACATTCAGTTTACTGTTACATAAGACAAAAGCTGCAAATCGTCACAGTTGAGAAGCTTACTGCAGAATGTTAAACATTTTTGCTTGGAGAATGACTTAAACTAGCTAACAAATTATTGTTTCTGCTCCAATTAAAAGGTCTATATGAAGGATATTTTAACACCTGGTTGCTAATATTTATGGGCAGAATTGGACTAAAATCGGTCCTAAGGTGGCCACTTTAGTGCATTCAAGAAAGAGCAGTGTCCAGAGAAACTACAACAGAATGGACTTTAACTCCATTTCCAAGCAGGAGCTGCTATGCTCATGAATTTCAGTCGGTCAGCTGCATCATGTCAGGAGATGTTTTTCCTCCCGGATAGAAATATTTTATGGGCCAGTCGGAGTGTCTGCACACAATAGTTATCTCTTGGAGGCGTTCTGCTGCAGTCAAAGCATGTCTGATAATTGTCCACACTATGAACCCAGTCACTCCTCACCATGACACCGTCTCTCTCTCTCTCTGTCTCTCTCTCTCTCTCTCTCTCTCTCTCTCTCTCTCTCTCTCTCTCTCTCTGGTCTCTCTCTCTCTCTCTCTCTCTCTCTCTCTCTCTCTCTCTCTCTCTCTCTCTCTCTCTCTCTCTCTCTCTCTCTCTCTCTCTCTCTGTGTGTCTCTGTCTCTCTTTCTCTCTCTCCCTCTCCCATTCATGTAGGCACGCACACCCACCGACACAGTACAGACACAGAGTCAGAGACGGGGCGGTTTCAGCAAAGGGGCACTATAGCCAGTGTGTCTGATGCTGACTCAGTAGAATGTTAATGTTGTGAAATCCCATTAAGAGCAATCTGGTGCTGAGCAGGGCCACGCCTGGGCTTTACGGGACAGCAGGTCGTTTTAAAAGGCCAGCGGCGCCCTTGTGTTTGCACTGTGTAACAGAATCTAATCACTTGAGTGGCTCACGCTAAATTGAATTGCTCTTTTTAAATCGCTGCCACTCATGTTTAGTTGCTCTTGAAGGCTGTTTAAATGATTTTG